TGATATCACTAGAATTGGGTCATTACCTCCACAAATCAGTGTGAAATCATTATATTAATGTTTTTGTATTGGTGGGTGTGTGTGTGTGTCCACGGGGTTTGGCTGGGTGGTGTACTGAATGACCTGTTAGCGTTCTCTGTTGACAGCTGGGTGAAAATATCACTGCTTTCTCGCTGTTGTCACCCACTGCTGCTTGGATACACATACACTGGTTGTACCGGACTGGGTTTGGGTGTTTGTAATATTAATCGAAGGCAAAATTATTCCCTCATAAATTTACGCGGGAATTGATTTGTTTACATAACACGCGACATGCCCCCTGCCGCCATAACGCCCGAGTATCACAACTTGGCCAAAGCTTTCCTCCTCCTCCTCCTAACACCAAGCTATCTTTACTCTCTGTTTGATGCTATCACCACCTAAGCAATAAAGCACTAAACTAGACGACTCTAATTAATCAAACTGGTCTTTAAGGAATTAACGCAGGAACCCATGTCCAAATAGAATACGATGTCGACGGTTGAAGTTTACTGCTGTAATTCCAGCTAAAAAAAAATTGCGAATAGATGATCCGCTTTAAGTCAGGTTATGTGTTTAGGTGTGGAATATTAAAGTGTGTTGGTTGGAGAGGCGGGAAGGAGGGCGTGGGGCAATAATACCCAACTTGTAACTCAATGTGGTATGCGAGAAATGTTTTGGGCGTCTCCTACCCTGGGCCAACCAACATCATCCGCTGTGTGTAGGTGGTGGTGGGGATAGTGTATTGGCAGTGTGTATGTATTGGCCTGTTGGTGTATGTGGCTACGTAGGTGATTGTGTTGGTTGTGTTGCTATTTACTGTATGTATTGGTGTATGTTGCTATGTAGTTGTGTTGGCGAGTATGTTGCTATGTAATTGATGGTGTTCTGTTTAGTGGTAATGGCGTGTTGGTATGTAGGTTGGTAGTGTTGCTATGTAGGTGATGGTGTGTAGATGGTGGCGTAGCAGGGGAGATGCATAAGTGTTACAGCCCGCGTGAAAGGTACCGGTATTGATTTTAGTTGGGTTTGAGCGGGAAGAAGTCCACTGCTAGGGTAAGGTCTTGTCCACTGGGTTCGTGTTGGGAAGGTAAATCGATTTCAACCCGTAGCGATGGAATTCGTTCTTGTAAACTTTATGGAATTAAAATTTAAACACGGGATTTCCCACACAGTCAAAACTTTGACGTATAGAATTCAAACCTATTTTATTATGTTTAAAATTCAATGTCTTTTGTATACTGTATATATACGTTTTTAGACATTATTTTAGTCATTATTGTAAACTGTGATTTGGTAGAATTATTCTGGTTAACGATTTGTATTGAGATTAATTCGCACTATTGGTATTTTTTCTAGTGTTTAAATTCAGGATTTTTTACTATTGATTTAAAAAAAGAATAATTTTAGTGAAGGGTCATTAAAATTTAGGTTGTTACTAAGGTTATGTGTTATATATGCTACACAGTTCACCACAACGTCACTGCAGCAGTGATATAAGCAGCAATTGATCGCTGCATCCTGTATTCCTTCATATATTTTCCTCAGCGTTTCAGAGCAGACAGAAACTTTAAACAATATGTGTGAGTTAACAGAGAATATTTGCATTAGTCATATTCCTCCTATTTATTGAGATGTTCTTGTGGGTCTGTCTGTTGGTAACGGTGGTGGGAGGAGCGATGTCTAATGTAAACATTGAGGTGAGGACGGTACACCACCGTCTGTTAGTAGTGTGGCGTGTCTAAGCTGTCAGGACACCCCCAAAGGCTCTTGTTGTTGCCAGCTGCTGTGTGTTGAGATTCTCATGGGGCCGCGCGTTGAATATTTCCTCGTCAGTGACGGTACTATAAGATTGTTCCTCAAAATTGTTCGGAGATTTAACTAGCTACACTTTTATAGCAATTCAATTTTAATTGTTTATTCCTTGATAGAGGAAGCGGGATCCTAGTGCTGTCACTCGGTACCCCTGTACAATAACACCAGAAGCATCTGGCAAGTGTGACAAGTATATACAGTATAAATATTATAAAGGGGCTTACTAAAGCCTAAGGAAGGAAGGATATTCCTTTAACACATAATCAATGTTATTTTCATAATATCTGGCCAGTATGGGGAGGATCATCGTGTCTCCGTCAGGGGGTCGTGGAGTGGTGGTCCAGCAGGCGTCACGGAAGCGTTGTGTGGGGGGGTTTATAGCATCAAGTTTTTCTCCTGATGTTAAGGGAACGTATATAATTTAAACAGGTTCGTATTTTGTTCGGGTTATGTCCCAATATGTTACCTTGGATCATATGAAGATCTTCCCCAAAGTATCCAACTGAAGATCCTCCCCCCCCAGTCGCGCTCATATGAAGATCCACCCCCCCCCAGTCGCGCTCATATGAAGATCCTCCCCAACATATAATATAAATAAACAACATAAGGATTAAATAATAAAACATTACTCAGATTACTTTCTTGTTACACTAAATATTGGTGTAGGTTAGGTTAGGTGGTCATAGTGACGTGAGGTCAGGTTTGGTCATTGGTCAGGTCAGATCCTCCCATCCAGGCTTGATCATATGAAGATCCCCCAGGTTAGATCATATGAAGATCCTCCGCCCCCCAAGTAGGTTTGGGGGGGAGGATCTTCATATGATCCGTTACCTTAAATGAATATATCGAGCAGAACAAATCTTGTATTTTGTACTGATTGTTATCAGTGTTTTCATATTTATATTGTATTTCTTAATGCGTGGTTGAGTTTGGGAAGACTAGCTTGGAACATCCTTTTCGTGCGTGAGCGCTAAATATTTTTAGTGACATCTGTTTGTTTATAGGTTAACGCGTCAGCCCCGACTGTCACCTCGTGGATGATACAGTATCTAAATCGGTGTTGTTACGTATTTTCTTTAATTAAGTTCGTCTGTCATTGTGTGGGTAAGGGGGGGGCAGCCGCACACGTGTAGGGCTTGCGTAATGTTTATTGACTCCCAAACAGCTGATTAACCGTAAACACAACACCAGATACGGTAGATTAATACCAACCGGAGACGCAGTTCACACATCTGGTGGCCCAAGTGTAGTGGAGGAGAGGCCGACGAGAAGAGTGAAGAAACTGTGACGGGAAGAGAAGCGAAGGGAGTGAAGGGCAGGCCGAGCCATGACGCAGCTCGTCTGTTGGGGAGAGAAGGGGGGGAGGCGGGAGGGTTGAGCAGCGAGTGTGGCGCGCGGGGGTCATAGAGTACACGTTATAATCTCTTCCCTAGCCACGTTCCCGGCAACTAGAAGAGTATACCCCCCCCCCCCCTGACTCTGATACCTGTTATAACATCACAATGTGTCCTGGGTGAGTTTGCGAATGTGGGAGGGGAGGGCGGGGGGGTTGTGTTTAACTAGGCAATATTCATAAAAGCCAACGATAAATTAATTTTATAACCAAAATATGACATCGACCAATGTAAACATTACAAAAAACTATCGTATCTTGACCTAACTTACTAATGGTACCTTTCTGGTCCAAATGGTGATCTTTCCTGCGACTTTCCAGTAACTATATGACCTTTCGCCGAATAATGGCTGGTTCATATACACAGAGGATTGGTTTGTGATGTGTTTGGTGTACCGGTGCCAGGTATTTTGTCTCTCTCACTTCTGGTGTTCATTTCGGTTCGTGTCGTCCATGTGCTAAAGATCCCTGGTATTTGGCGAGGTGGTCCGGCTAGGGTTCTGACTGTTGACTAGGAATACCACTAGTTGTGCCACATATCACGACCTACGATACGCCTGGCTACAGCTGATGTGATGTGGCAGGCCTGTAAACCTTCTCACCCCCATCTACCCTACTTGGATAGGCCTGTAATGGAGATGGATATTTCTGTAGTAATTTACTGGACATGTTCACATTTAGCCCACCAACCCCTCTCACCACTTTTCTCGTCTGGGATTCACGTTAATTCCTAAGATGTAATAATGAATTTAACGGGTGAATTAAGTTATACTATAGACAAATTATCCATATAATGTGGAAACTCTTATATAAATTTATATGTATATGTTTATTTATCACAGTTAGGAGGTAAAATTAACGTTTTTTTGTTATCTAATCTCTCGCGATTTGGTACTGATAGTCTGAATATTTATGCATGGTACAATACAGGTAACACCCGTCAGATACGATAATAGTGATTCATCGTACGGGCGTTTGAGAATCAGATTCGTTTTATGACGTCCTGTTGCACTCAAACGGTAAGCATTACGATTGATCTTTTTGTTAAATAAATTCCATCACATCCCGTCATTTGCTTGCTAGGTAATTATAGGTGAAGCTGGCAACGTGAATGTTTAATGCAGCGAATATTTACAAGGTTACAATAATTATGTTGTGTGCAGGTCATTATGGCGTAGCCTGTGTCCACTGTTACTATGTTGGTTTTATACGACGCGTTACCGGATACCATTTTCATCACGAATTAATGCCAGACACCGTTGCCTTATATAAAATATTTATATTAAAGCTTATATCGCATTTAATTACAGCTTATATCACATTGAATTAAGACGGGATATATTGAAATGAAGTATAAATTGGTGATAACTCGCTGGTACTGTAGTCAACAAGGGATGGTGGGTGTTATCGGTCTCGTATTGTTGTTGGTGATCAGCTGACCGAGAGCGAGCGCTGGTGTGGGTGTGTTCTGATTCTGTCGCCTGTTTTAATCAGTTAATGTTGTGAGTGGCTGTGGGGACAAATCACATGATGTAGGCTGACCCTTTCACCTTTGTTTTTATTATTAGAAGTATATTGGTTATCTTTAGTATTATTATTGGTGTTACATTAGTTTTTATTGCTCTATATGGCTAAATAATAACCTTATTCTCAGTGTATACTTGGATTTATGCATCCATACTAAACTATCAATTCCTAGTCATATAAAGTTAACCTTAAGTAATTTTTATCTAACGTTAAATAGTAAATTTTAATAATGTTTCCCTTCCCCAAGGCTCGGAGGACGGCCAGTTTCGCCAAAGACTGCCATGGAACAAGAGAAGCGAATCCGCCGAGAAATAGCCAATAGCAACGAGAGGCGGCGCATGCAGAGTATCAACGCTGGGTTCGCCTCTCTCAAGACTCTCCTTCCACACCACGAAGGGGAGAAGCTTAGTAAGGTGAGGTCTTCTCCAAATCAGAAATTTGGGGATAACCTGAAGATTTAGGCACCTCAGCTTATTTCACCTGATGATTAAACGCCTTACGCTACCTGTAGGTCTTCAGATCAAAATTTTGGGTTACGTTATGTTTAGCTTTATGGTGTTTAATTATTAGGTGAAATAAGCTGGGGCGCTGGTAGGATATACATGGTAATAATGGTCTTATTGGACATATACTGGTAAAGAGTTGGTAGGACATCGCTGGTAACAACCGGGGCTGGTAGGACATGCACTGGTAACAACCGGGGCTGGTAGGACATGCACTGGTAACAACCGGGGCTGGTAGGACATGCACTGGTAAGAGGAGTTAGGTAGGACGTCAGTGATATCACCAGAGCCTCACTACGGGCAAGCAGCCATGGCCGCGTTACATCACACATGACCCTTCAAACCACATGTCTAACCACACACCCCACTTTTCACTCTGGTTGAATGAACTGGCTGTTTGGTTATACAATTATGTGTTTGTTTGTGTGAATGATGAATTTTAGTGGGGAAAATACATGCTGATGTTTTGTCAAGCACTTGTAAATAAGTACGTGATGATGAACGTTCTGATGGCAACGCTTTGGAGGCTGAATATTTAGTTTGAATATTGCTATCAATGTAAACGTACAAATGAAACCGATTTTTAGTGGAGGTTGTTGTTCAATCACTCGTAAAAATAAACCCCATTATTGTGCCGTGTTCTTTCTATTATGGGGATTTATTGTAAAGGTTATGCTGTAATCCATTAGAAAGCGCGGGAGATTTTCCGTTCGATAATGTTAGTAAACAAACCAGACGCCTCATTCATTCATGCTTGTTGGTGCTGACCTTTTAACAACGTCGATCTCCATTCATTCGTGGGTAGAATTTAACGTCAGTAATTTGTATCTTGGGGATAAAAAAGACAAGACCTCGCTAAGTCAAGTCGATAAGGTGTTAAACCCACGTCACTATCGTTACTGAGTCGTGTGTTTAAACCACGCTGTACGTTGTTTAATCTCCTTGGTATAGTCTTATTTAAATGTAAATCTGAATGATATTGTTTTGAATCGACCACCGGAAGTGAGGGGATTAGTTCATATACATTTAAAAACAAAAGGATTCTAATTTCGAATACCATACAGTAGACAACGTGTGTGTGATTACAGGCGGTGTTTTGACATACTCCATGTAATTTAGTTCCCTTGATGTGTGTATTTACGGAAGTACAATGAGGAAATTCCACGTTTAATATATGTATCCCCGTACCTATCACTATATCCGCCTTGAGACTTCGGGGGGAATTGTGAAGAACGCATTACAGTGAATAGTTTTGTTTTGAAAATGGAAATCGTACATATAATAGGTATATTATTTATTGTATTAATGTATATACAACCATCTAAGCAGTTGAAAATGCCATGTACACATTTAGGTTTACATCACATGGTGTTATGTTTGAGTGTGCACGTGTATGTCATGAATGGTGGCGTGAGCGTGGCGGGAAATATCAGCTGACTGGAGTAGAGGCGGCGGTGTTAGTGTTGATGGTGGGGCGACGCTCACCACCACTCGCTTACTACGACCTTCTCATACTCTCAAACAGTTGACAGTACCACAACTATTAGGATTCATTGAGGCTTAAATGGTTATATAAATTGTGTATGTATGATTTATAGGTTGCGATGTTGTTTGTACGGATAGCGAGACAAGTACGGTTTAAGCGGGAGGTGTTCAACAGAGCCAGCTGATTCGGTTTCCATGACGACGATCGACCTGGTGTAGCCTCGCCCCGCCCCGTATCGTACTACTGCCGGCCGCATGGTGTCTCAAGCTCAAAGCCGAGGAAAACGGTTGTAATATTTCCCGCTCATCAGTCTGTAACTGTCATTATAGGAGAATATTGATTTCTGTGATATAGGAATTATTTGTTTATTATAAATTGGGGTTATATACTTGAGAGTGGTATAGGAGACGAGGCGCCCCCACGTGGCTAGACAGGGGTTGGTGCGAGGCTAGCGGGCGACCATGTGGCGCGCATTTCGGGCCCCGCACCGCTTCTGCATTGTACTTCACCACGGCTGCATTGTTCACATATTTAGAAAACACGTCAATTAAACATACAACCAAGTCAGATGGCATAAAAAATTAAAGTCAGGTTAAAGTTGAAAATTGGGATCGCGAGGAGCAGTCATAGTTTTCGTCTTCGGACAGACCGGCACCACGTGACTTACACCAGCTGACGTCTAACCCAAAATGGCGCGAAATATACTGGGCGGACATAATCTTAACTAATAAACCCACACACCAACACATACATGGGACCACGTTATTTAGTAATATGAATGTCATCAAGTAATATCTCCACTATTATGATAACCTGTTGTTGTTATGATTAGAAAACTTTCTGGTGTATAGCGGACTTGTTGCTAGGTTCCATAGACGTGAACTTGGCAATAGGAAAAAAAACTTTATTGATATTTGATTTTTGATTTATTTACGTAGTGTGAAGGGCAATCACGAGTATTTAGGGAAATGATCAGCCAATATTGCGAGTTATGTCATAAATCGTTACTATCAATTTTTTTTTTGTATATCAGACAAAAAGATATTCTAGGTTTCACAAAGAACTGCTCCGTACCCTTGACATACATAGCTTGGAAAGTATGAATGTATAACCTGAATTTGGTATATTTGAATGTTTTATTTTTATTGACAAACTAGCCTTTTTAAATGTTTATCACAAATTTTTAAAGCTATAATTGCTGTCAAGTGACGTCTAATTGTCTTTGTGCAAATTTATAAAACGAAGAAAAAATGAAACTATTAAACTAATGCATATAAATGGGATTTTTGTGTTCAGTGTAGACAGATTACTTCAGATTTTATTTTGTTGATCACTTCACGTACAAGCATACATATTCGTATTCAAATAGGAACCGTCATACAAGTGCACGTTGGTTCATCTTAATATACAAATAAGCATAAGTCTAGGTAATAGCCCAAGAAAGCTATTAAAGGTAGTATTTCCATATAAACCCCAATCATATTTAATTTAATCAACAAAATAAACAAACTTGGCTGTTTGTTCAGTTTGTTTATTGACATTTCAAAATCTTAGACAGGATTGTGTTTTTTTTTTGTATTGTAAATCGAGATCCAATCGGTATTAGCACTTTGGACCCACATGGAGATTACACAACCTCACCTCTGACGTAACCTACCTTAACCTAACCCAACAAATTGTAATCAATATGTAAACGTATTTTTTTGTGTGGGTGATGGATATCCTTGTTGTGTTGCGGATAAGTGTAATAGAAGATGCTAGTACCGAAATTGGTCGTTTACTTTGGAGCCGTCTGAAGTAGTAATGACCAAGACTGAGTGGAGTGAAATTGGGAACGCGTGACTAGTGTAGCCAGACCAGTCTCAAGGTTGGGTGTGTCGGCGTGGTTGCCATACGTAAATGTATTGTGCTCTTGTTCGTTCTACTGCATATCATTACCCCGAATCCACCATATCCTTAATATTGAGTAGGTGGTATTGATGGGATGAGAGATAGATGGGTCTAGAAAGGTGTAATTACGGTATGTAATTACGGGTATGGGAGTTGGTGGTACTATAACGGCAACGGACTAGAAAAACAGCTGACCTGGGGTAGTAGAAGGAATCTCTGGCATTTTTCCCCAGGACTTCTTCACCTTAGTAAACTGGTTTGCTACAAGTGAGCGGCTGCTGGAACTATTTTTCACATAGTTAAGCGTTGTAACAGAGGGCGCCATAGTATTACTGATAGCAGTAGTAGTGGTGGTTATATTTGACGGGTAATACATAGGAAAGGTTATGATAAGCAATAGACTTGAGATTATATTTAAACAAAAGCGTTATCTGATATAAAATAAAATTAACATAAATAATCGCTGGAAAGATTCTGTACATTAACTTTGTTAACTGGGGCAAAGTGAACATGTCTAGTTAAGGATTGTAAGTGTAACATGATATTTTTGGATTGGTGTCACCGAAAATTCCTTTTACTTAACAAAATCCGCAGGGGTCGTCAATGAGAACACTAAGTACTGTATTTGTTTTCAAGTTATTTATATTCTTGGTTCAATTGTTGCTACGTTAAGCAGTGGGAACCGGGTTCGTTATTTATATTGGCACGGCAGTGATCAAGTGATGGATGTGTGAAGGGATGGCAGCGCCACCTACTGACTCCTGCTTCCGTCAACCCGCGTGTGAGTGTTGATGGCCGGCCCCACAACTCCTTCCCCCTCCCCCTCTCTTCCGCCTTTCTCACCAACTGCTGCTCTTCCTCCTCCTCCCGTCCGTGTGGTCATGTGTGTGTAACATAACATCTGAGCAATGATCTAACACGTGCATATTCCTCCTGCTGCTCCCTTCCCCCCGGAGAATGGGTACAGATGTACTCAGGTTTGCATTACCCCCAGACCTCCATTGTGTGATGTTTACAAACGTTCAGCTGGCCGGGGGAAGGGGGAGGTTCATCTCAGAGAGGGCATTCATCTTATTGCCAAAGTTTATAGGGGATTGAATCGTCTTGCGGGTACAGTATATGCTTAACCTACTTTTGTGGGTGGCTTTAATTTATGATTTCTCTACGGCGAGTTTGAGGGAAATTAAAATATTGTTCTTAGGCTTTCAGAATGCAGTACCTGGATGACAAAATTAAATAAAACGTAATTTACAAATACCAGGCCAGATGTTGGTTTAAAACAAGTACAATAATTCCCAGGTGGTATCATACAGGTGGTACCTTAACCTGGATATGGAAAGGAAATGCATCTGAGATTTCCCTTAACCTTCAACCTTGCTGCCATAATCCATTTTAGACTGTAGTGAAAGACGGCACGAGTAGTATTAGGTTAGGTTGTGTCAGGACCTGTGGGACCCCATCTTTCCCTGTGATAATCCTGGTTGTGAGTGAATCCCGCCAACGAACGCCTGGTTGGGTTAAGCACTCATACACACGCCACCCCTCCCTCCCTCCCTCTCTCTGCCCTGTCGCCCGCCCGCCATCCTAGCTTCCCACACGGCCACACTACCATTCACTCCCTCCCTCTGGCCTCCCCGAGCTCCGGCCTCAACGCTCCCCTCCTCACCCCTCCTCCCCCATCCCCTCCTCCCACTACGGCGGCGGCGTTTTCAAGGTCAAAAGTACGTTGTCTGCCCGAGCTGCTGTTCCGTCTCCCTCCTTGTCTAGGTCGGGCGGTTGCGGGGAGCGTTCGTGCGTTCATTATTACCCATCAGCGTTGTTAATTCTCTTTTACGTCAACTTCTACCAGCTCTTATATATTGTGTGGATTTTTAGTAACTTATCAAGGGTCTAGCCAGCCACCACGAGCTTTGGGATACATATTTTTGGTGATACATTTTATTCCTACACGGTGTATGTACACTATACATGTATTGTCTGTACTGTTTACTGTATTCATGTACTGTATACCTTTATTGTCTATGTACACGCTGAACTGTATACCTGCGTTGTCATACTGTACACGCTGAACTGTATACCTGCGTTGTCATACTGTATACGCTGAACTGTATACCTGCATGACTTTTTACTGAATATCAATATATCTATTATCTACCTACTTATCTATTTATATATCTCGCTATCTGTCGAAGTCGTGTTTGGTAGAGGGCGGTGCGTCTAACATGTGGGATGGGAGTGGGTGAGATCATGTTTTTGTTGTACGCAAGGTCATTGTTACGCCATAAGGAGGAAGGTTGTGTGTGTGTGTTTGAGTGTGCGTGTGTGTGCGTGCCATTGTCCGCCCGGCGCCACCCCCACCCCCACCTCTTTCCCTACCTACCAACCGCCCTACCCACCCCCACACCTGTTGCTGTGATGCTCCCCCTCCTCGTAGCTACACCCCCAACAACCCCCTCCATTGCCTGCCGTACACCCTACCTCCATCTTGTCTCCTTCCCCCAAGTCATCCCCCTACTCCCGTTCCCCAAGTCATCCCCCTACTCCCGTTCCCCAAGTCATCCCCCCTACTCCCTTCCCCAAGTCATCCCCTCCCGTTCCCAAGTCATCCCCCTCCCGTTCCCAAGTCATCCCCCCTACTCCCTTCCCAGTCATCCCCAAGTCATCCCCCTACTCCCTCCCCAAGTCATCCCCTACTCCCGTTCCCCATCATCCCCCCTACTCCCGTTCCCAAGTCATCCCCCTACTCCGTTCCCCAAGTCATCCCCTACTCCCGTTCCCCCAAGTCATCCCCTACTCCCTTCCCCAAGTCATCCCCCCCTTTCCCCCAAGTCATCCCCCATCCCCCCCAAGTCATCCCCCTACTCCTTCCCCCAAGTCATCCCCTACTCCCGTTCCCCAAGTCATCCCCTCTCCCGTTCCCAAGTCATCCCTCTACTCCCGTTCCCCAAGTCATCCCCCCTACATCCCCTTCCCCCAAGTCATCCCCCTACTCCCGTTCCCAAGTCATCCCCTACTCCCCTTCCCCCAAGTCATCCCCCTACTCCCGTTCCCCAAGTCATCCCCCCTCCCCTTCCCCAAGTCATCCCCCTTTCCCCAAGTCATCCCCCTCTTTCCCCAAGTCATCCCCCTACTCCCTTCCCCAAGTCATCCCCTACTCCCCTTCTAAGTCATCCCCTACTCCCGTTCCCAAGTCATCCCCCTACTCCCGTTCCCCAAGTCATCCCCCTACTCCCCTTCCCCAAGTCATCCCCCTACTCCCGTTCCCCAAGTCATCCCCCTACTCCCGTTCCCCAAGTCATCCCCCTACTCCCGTTCCCCAAGTCTTTCCCTAATCTTCCCCAAATTAGGAATAAGGGGCATTGATGATAGACCATTACAATTAGTGGTCCTTAATATTATAGGCCATTAGGACGGAGACCCATTATTTTTTTATTGTGGGGGGGGGGAATCCCAGCTTAATTCACCTGATGAATAAACTCCCTAATGTGACTTTGGTGGGATAAAGGGGTCAGGTTAGACACATTCGTTTCACACCAGGAGACAAAGTTAAGGTACAGAATATTTTGGAAAAGAGTTTTATATTTTGTCTAAATGCTGTTAAGGAAACGTTTCTAGTTAAGGTAATCCCAATATAAATCTGGTATTCTTATACATTGTCTGATTTATACATCATAAATCAAGCCGTTAGACACGACTAATATTCACCCTACGACCCTTTGTGAACCTCGAGTTGTGGCTGGTGTCACTAGGAACATTACCTTTAAGCCCTGACGTAGGAGGGAGGGTGTTAAAGGCCACAGGTCATTGTGTGTCGATGTGTACACCACTTTGGCTGAGAACAGTTTTAAGTGGATCAGGTATTTTTAAACAATATACAATCCATGTTATACTGCTTCCCCCCTTATCACATTTATCTATATCACCTCCACTGTAAAGTATGTATATACTTATAATATAATGTAAAAAATAACAAAAAAAACATAAATATCGAAATGATAACCGTGGTAACATTGATATGTACTTATTACTACCATGCTATGTGTACTATTCCAGGTGATACTAAATGTTACATAATACTTCCTTGAGATAAAGAGGTAAACATTGGTTTGGGAAATAGAGTAGTGGACGAATGGAACAAGTTCCCAAATATCATCATTAACTCCAATACTCCAATGTTATTATTTTTCGACACTTGTCTATTTTCTTCTGGCTAAATAAACTGTTTCAATATCAATGAAGATATTGTTATTTTTAGCCTCTTAGAGTTCAGTGTCTTAATGCCCTTGAGTATGATAGCTTAACCTCCTGGAGTTGGTAGTTTTACCCAGTGAGTGCAATGTCGTCACACTCAAGGGAAATGGGGTTAAAACATCCTTGAAGTGAGTGGTGTTCACTTTGTACCACTTGTAATAAAACAATTTCCTAAGTGCACTGAACCTTTAAGAGGTTCAAGTTGGTGTTGCATTGTTTATGGAACGTGCATGTGTGTGTGTGAGATTGTACGATACTTGTTTGAATTCAGGTGTACTGTACTTGTAGTGAACATTATAACATTAGTGAAGCAAACATGCATTACTTGATTTGCAATGTTATTAAAAAATAATCATCTGTACAGTATTAGTCATTCTGAAACATTCTTGCAAGTGTGTCAGAAAATGTATATTTTTAGGCATCGTAAATCACTTGGAAGGCTGCGTTAAGAAATCGTATATTTTTAACCCTCGTTGTTTGTTGTGTTTCAGGCGGCTATCCTGCAGCAGACGGCCGAGTATATTTATCAGCTGGAGCAGGAGAAGACACGCTTGTTGTCGCAGAACTGTCAGCTCAAACGCCTGCTCAACCAACAGCAACACCATGCGGATGTTGAAGGTGAGGTTAAGTGACACTCTTTGGAATGTGTCTCTGTGTGTTTGAGTTAATGATGTGTATGTGCCTTAGTTATATTGTGTGAGGGTGTGTTGGCTGTGGTCACTAATTTAACCTCACCTCACCTCAACTTACCTTACATTACCTCACCTACCTTACATTACCTCACCTAACCTAACCTAACCTCGCCTCACCTAACCTCGCCTCACCTCTCCTCACCTACCTTACATTACCTCACCTAACATCTTAACTGAATCTCTGGGGGATGTGTCTGTGTATTTGAGTTACTGATGTGTTTGTATTAGCCAGCCAGGACCACTAAACCTAACCTTACCTTACCTAACCATGTTAACTGAAATGGCTGTGTTGTACTATATTAATTTTAAGGACTGGAGAATACAAAATATTGACTATTAACTCCAGCTGCAGGTTGGTGCCTGGAGAAACGTTTAATCATGGCCAAAAAAGTCATTATTTTCCTCTACAAAATAGACAAAATTGTATTGGTCTTAACCTACTACTGACTGCAAAGACTTTGATAAAACAGTTAGGACTATTGACCCTACTCTGCCTTTCATTTTATATTTACCTGATTGAAGGAACTGGCCCACCAGATCTTGTGTGTACAGTAGAAACCTTATTTTATACTGTACAGTGAAACCTCTCTAATGGATCTCAAACTGATGGTGATATTTGTCGAGGTCACTTGAATGTTTGTATTACATCAGCAATATGACCTTCACTTGTCGATGTGTCAGGTTACCACCCAAAAGTCAGGACAATGTTGCTGTTGTAATTTTTATAATGCAGTATGTGTATATACATTTTTTTGGTGACATCCTGTAGGTCTTAATTGACTTGACTTACTGGGGAAAAAATATAAACTCGGGCCATCTCTCACCCCAGTTCTTAGTTATGGTTCTTACAGGAGGTTTTTTGTTTTACAGGAAGTCCTACAGGAGGCGAGAGTCCCTGTGATGATGGGGGCAGTAGTGGAGGGGAGGCGGTGATTGTCAGCACGCAGGTGGACAGCGGACCGGCCACCGAAGAGCTACGCCGCGAGATGATCGACCTCCGGATGCAACTGGATAGAGAACGTCGCCATCGCATGACCCTCGAGGAACACATCCGTTCCCTTGAAGCTCAGACGTACCCAGAACGCATCAAAGAAATTTCAACTCTGGTTAGTGTACAGTACCTGTGGTGTAAATGTGGGACTGGAAACTAGTAAATGTGTTGTATCTCTAGGGGTTAATGGTCCTCTTACTCAAGGGGTTAATGCCATCATACTCAAGGGGTTAATGCCATCATACTCAGGTGATTGAGGTTACTGAGCCTATCACATACACTTAACTAGCTAATGATGACAGTATCTGAATTTTCTTCACAAATAAACTGAATATTTTTTACTTTTCTTTGCAAATAAACTAACTAACGATTCCTTTTTTCTCCATAAGTCAAATAAATGTTGAGTATAATTTTGTCTTCGCAAGTAAAAAACAAAACACGCTTATCTCACTTCTCAGAAACCTGATGTCCGCGAACCCAAAGTCGAGTCGATAACAGTGACAGGATCGGTGTTGGGAACAGCCCTGGGTGCGGCAGGCATTGGAGGGTCGGTGGCGGGACAGGTGACCAACATAGTGGAGGTGAGCACAACGCCACGAGCCCTCACGACCACCACCATCAAGACTGAGCCCCAGAGCCCGCACCAGCCTCCACACCACCATCACCAGCTTCTCCCTGCAGTAAGTGAGGCGGTAAGCCTTATTGACTAATTATACTAGGTGACCAAGAAAGGACTACCAACATGTTTTGATTAATAGAGGGTGGGCAAGAAAATAGACAGGTCTTGAACTAGTGTGATATTATTAATCATATGTTTTAAACAATACACATACAGAGTACAGAACATGCATTGTACACATTACACAACAAGATAATACATTTATCATTCACAAAACTCAATGCACATCATACATACTACACACTTGTGTATTTTTGTTCTCGGTAAAGTGACTTCCGCGTTACTCTCACGATGAAATTATTCACACATCATCTGTACTTCAGGGTGCAACCACCACAGTCACCTCCACCCCAGTTGCTGCCATCGCCGCCACCACAACCACCTCATCCGTTCCCTCCATGACCACCATCACCACCAGTGTTGGTCAGCATCCGCCACGCCAACCGGCAACTGCAGTACTCAGCCGTCAATCACTAACACCCAATTCGCACAACCAAATCCCAGCAACTGTTGTTTCAGGAAGTCCGGCAACAACAATTGTCACCGTCGTACCATCATCAAAGGTACGTGGTGTGAATTTCAAGTGTAACCTCAGTATGGCATTTTTTACACAGAATTATATGTACTTCATCTTAAGTAACCATTTTGATATTAACTTACAGCTCACCTAACTACCACCTTGAAGCTGACCTAACCTAACACATCCTAACCTGACTTAATCTGATCATCCCATAACCTAACCTAACCCTCCAGGTCTATAGTTGATCCATATTATTATAATTTTTAGTCCAGACATGAGTTACTCCTTTAATTCAGTAGTTATGGTAAATATAAGCTCATCATTTGGTGTCTTTAATTAGAAAACCATTATTAAATCACAGGGAGGTGTTGATGCACTGCCGTCAGTGTTCGAAGCACTAACAGCTTCTGGTCGATTTGGAGCCAAGGTAGAGGTGGAGCCAGCACCCCGTGTACCCTCCCCCGAAGCAACCATAGAGTATGTAGATGACAACAAGAATCACACGTAAGTTTTCTGCCAATTCTCTACTCTCTCTTATATACAGCACAGTGTGTGTACGATACAGACACACTCATTCATTATATTTGTTTATTGTATGTGGTGACTTCTTATTTGAATGCCTATCTTGTAGCCGAAGGAACAGAATAAGATTTTAAGCCAATATGTGCTGAGGAAAACCCATTAAACATACTGATAATGTTCTAGCTGGTGTGAACAATAAAGGAAACTTTTACCCTATGCACAGTATCTCAAAAGTATGTCCACACACTTTGTGAAACATTATGAGACCACGGATGATAGATATTGGGACATACATTAACTTTGTATATAATTTAATATAAGTAATGCAATGTGTATTTATTTCGGCATAATTAATATAGCATGTGGTGACCTAGTAGCAGGATCAGTATGCCACAGAGCCACATATACCAACCCTCCCGGGACACAACGAGTTGCTTGTAGCACTTTGGAAGTCCTCGGACCTATCCTGGCAGATGCGTTTTTTTTTTAGATACTGTACAGTCTATATACATACAGTATTTAAATATTCCTATGTTATTTTTCAGTGTGTATATTGTGAACTCGACAAATGCAGCTTGTCAGAAGTCCCTCGACACAATCTGTGAGGCCATCCGACACTTGGAAGGTGACCACATGTTCCAGACTGAGGACCAACATCCACGCATCGAGGAGGAGATAATAACAGAGGAAACACTGACCATTGAAGATCACACAGGAGATCAGGTTACCCTCAGTGGAGAGCACGTGCCCGTTACTCTCGGCGGACAGGTAACCCTCGGGAGTGGACAGGTCACCCTTGCCGGGGAAGACGAACCAATCACTCTACACATGGTTGGTGAGCCTCAAGAGGTCCCACTTGAGTTGACCACGACGCACCGTCCCGCCCAGCATGTGTCGAACCTCACAAACGTGAGTCGACTTTCCCAGCAGCCTACCATCAACCTCACCACCAACAGTCGTTTAGCTCAGCATCCTGCCAATAACATCTCCAACCTCAGCACGAGGGTCAACCAGCAGTCGCCAAACCACACCAGTTTGAGCATTGAGGCCGTACCCGTGTCTATCTCCACCTCCATCTCCTCCCACCCCTCATCTTCGTCAAATCTACTGCAGGCGACAAGACCGGGCGTCATTGTCGTCAAACATCCATAAAATATTGGTATTGACCTCTTATATGGGTCGACTGTGTTAATATTCTAAGGAACATAATATAATGCTATGCCCACCACAGGTCTTGGAAGTACTTGGTGTTTTCTCGCATAAGGTTACGGACTCCATTCTTGTGCTTGACTGGTGGGTTGGTGTCCTCAACTTGCCTAGACACTAAAATTGTGCAACAGAAACAAAATGATTAAGTGAGGTTTTGCTGTTATGGCATTCTGGAATGAGTGATGATCAGGTGTGAAAATCTGAATTGTAAAACGTGTACATAGCATATTTTGGTGTATAAAGTGTAGGTTAAGTACGAGGAGATCTGACAGGTCACCAGAGATGCACCAATAGTGACTGGCAGAATCTCATGTGTCATCTGCTTGATTGCTCTTCTGCTTGGATGAAACTTGTTGCCACATTTAACTGTAGTTTTTGGGCAGGGCTTTCATCACAAACTAGGCCCTATGTAGGCATTCACGGTCTGAACCCACAAGTAAGGCAGCTTTGGGTGCGAACAATTCTTGGATGTCTTACACTTCTGGCTCATGTTTGGAAAATCCTGATTGTTGGCTATAGTGTATATCAAAAAGTCGAATCTCGTGAATAATATTTTGGGGTCGCAGCTATCGTGGGTATATGGCACAAAAAATTCCTGATTTAGAAACAAATAGAAATTAATAAATGAAAGTATCTAGAATAGCTTACATGCTTTTTTTTTTTATTAGTACGGAGGTTTTTGGTAAATTATATGTGGAGTAAATTGTAGTGTGTTGCCACAAATATATAAATTTAGTGTTTTTGTATTTACATGAGGATTGCTGGAGCAACCATGGACACTGGAAAAGGTCATTTTGAGGCAAGCTAAGAGCTACAGTCGTCTTATGATAAATGTATTAACGTGGTCTTACTGAAACATGAAAAATCACAATGGTACGTCACACAGGCTGACGGTATAAACGTGTATAAAATGGCACTTTACTTTTTGTTTATATGGCGGCAACATATAAAAGATGGTAATTTGCATTTTATATGTACGGCGGCAGCTTATAAAAAGGTAATCATGTAACTCTCATGTCGTGGCTACCTACTGTAGGGTAGCTGCTGAGGATTTAGGCAATTAAGATACCATTTTATAAACACTGCAGGTATATATATCTGGAAGAGTTTCCCCCAAAATTTTAAAAGACGCATTGGCCTCCGTGACAATTCCTAGGAAAAAAGTAGGGAGAAATTTGGTAATTCAAGGTCTGGACGTATTTTGTAAGACAGGGGCTGTGTGAAGATGAAATCCACCATTTTCATGTGTCGATAAAGTGAGCACACTGTGGGAACTCTAAAGGTACCGTAGGGAAAACCTTGAGATTTATATATATTTGTTGCTGGTTTGTCAGGTTATTGCCATGATATGATGAACATTCATTTACAGCTTGACCAATTCCTTACACACAAGACCACTATAAAGACTTGGGAAAAAAATAGAAATAGGTGTATATTTCAGCCTCTTAAATAAGTGAATTTTGAAAATCTATCAGTCGATGGATATCTTGTGTGTACCATTTGTTAATATTTTCATTACCTTAGAGATTGTATTTGTCTGTACTTGTGTATGGATTGTAAGTAAGGAAATTTGTCTTCAGTTAGTCTTTGAAAATGGTATTTAAAAACTGCACAAAGTTGTGGTGCTTTGAAGCAGGGTCGTCCATGCCTAGACTGTCTGTTGCAGTATTTATGTTGACTACTGAGGATGTGTGGACCAACCCAAGTCTCACTGTGTCCTGTACATGTTATACATATACAAGGTCTGGTTTTGTGTTTGCTCTATTAAATGGAGGCATTTGACTGTTTGTTTAAATATGTAAATCACAATATATAGTTATATATGTTAGAAAGTTTTCTGTTGACGTAACACAAGTTCACTCTATTATTAATTTTTATACAACTGGGATTCATTTCTTATTTTCCCTGTAGTTTTCTATTTGCCCAAAATTATGATAATGTATTTCTAAAGTAACGACTAAACTTACTTTTATATCTTTAATGAAAAAAGCAAAAAAAAAAAAAAAAAATCGGTAATTTTTTTAGACCATTTGACAAAAGTATATAAATGATTTTATCTTAATATAATTTTTTCATGTAATGTCAGATGTATGTTCACCTGATTTACCCAACTGCCTTCTCAGCTAGAGGTGGCCAGAAAACTGCAGTCCAAATATTGCAGTCCGTATAATGCCAAGTGATTTTAGTCGTAAAAGAGGCTAATGTTTTAACAATTTTATTATAAATACATTGGTGGTTTAGCCAGGGATTAAACTTTGGAATCCATAACATTAAAATTTCCTGTACTTTCAGAACCAAACACCCCTTTTCTCCATAACCAAACACCCCTTGTCTCCATAACCAAACACCCCTTTTCTCTATAACCAAACACCCCTTGTCTCCATGACCAAACACCCCTTTTCTCTATAACCAAACACCCCTTTTCTCTATAACCAAACACCCCTTTTCTCTATAACCAAACACCCCTTTTCTCCATAACCAAACACCCCTTTTCTCCATAACCAAACACTCCTTGTCTCCATGACCAAACACCCCTTGTCTCCATAACCAAACACTCCTTTTCTACACAGCCAGATATCCATTTTCTTCCTAACCAAATGCCCCCATACCTTCACAGCCTCTTTCTGTAAACAAGCCAAAACCCGGGCGTAATATATAAAGGTTTTGGTCTGCGAGAGTTAAGAGGTTAATGGAAGTAATGACGGGGTTCGTGCTCTCTGAACGATATATTCAAGATGGTGGACTAAGCCTGACTAATAAACAGGTATCCACAGTAACTTGACTAAAATAAAAAAATAATAATGTGATTTATCGTGTCGATGTGATTCTGTCGTACCTGGATATAGGGGATGCATGGTAGGAAATATGCTCCAAAGTTGAATTATTATTATTATTATTATTATTTCATTTCTTTAAAAGTATTACATTTATTACCACCACGTGACGACTATTGAATTGTTGTGAAGCGAATTACTGTACTGTAGTTAACGAATTACTGTACTGTAGTTAACGAATTACTGTACTGTACTGTAGTTAGTGAATCACTGTACTGTATTTAGCGAATTACTGTACTGTAGTTAGCAAATTACTGTACTGTGGTTAGCGAATTACTGTACTGTAAAGTTGTGCACGTTCACTCTTAAGCCAGCCAGCGGTTGATTATTACCATCCATCTGTCAACACCTTCATCAAAACGTTTGCCTCACCCCGAGCATCACTTGCCTCTTGAGTAAAAAAAAAATATTTCATATGTTGGCCATCAGTGTCTAGGACAGGTTGTGTCCATATGTTGGCCATCAATGTCTAGGACAGGTTGTGTCCATATGTTGGCCATCAGTGTCTAGGACAGGTTGTGTCCATATGTTGGCCATCAGTGTCTAGGACAGGTCGTGTCCATATGTTGGCCATCAGTGTCTAGGACAGGTTGTCCATATGTCCATATGTTAGGACCCATATGTTGGCCATCAGTGTCTAGGACAGGTTGTGTCCATATGTTGGCCATCAGTGTCTAGGACAGGTTGTGTCCAGTATGTCCATATGCCATCAGTGTCTAGGACAGGTCGTGTCCATATGTTGGCCATCAGTGTCTAGGACAGGTTGTGTCCATATGTTGGCCATCAGTGTCTAGGACAGAGGTCGTATCCATGGGCCCCCCAGCAAAAAAAAAATATAACAATAAAATAAAATAAAAAAATTAATAAAAATAACAAAGTTAAACAAATTATAAATAAAAAATAAATAAATAAAAAATAGATGTTTAGTGAGTTTAGGACGAGTTTTTCTTAATTTTTTTTATTGTCAATTTTTATAATGGACAAAACTTACAAGGTCTTGTTCTCACTCCCTCCTCCTCCTCCCCTCAATCCCACCATCCTTACTTTCTCTTCCTATTCCTCCACCTGCTCACCATCCTTCCTCCTCTTCACCCCACATCCTCCTCACTCCATCCTTCCAACTCCCTCTCACTTCTATCATCCATCCTTTTTCCCCTTCCCCCATTCTTCCTCTGCCTCACCCCATCCCTCTCCTCCCCACTCACCATCCAATATGTATCTTATAAAATGGTAATGAAAAACTTAAATATATAGTACATGTGTAATTTTAGTAGGGAAGATATAGTATATTACTGTCTTAAAATCTCTCGACAATTATCGATACAAATTGGAACATCTTCACATACAATTCAAGGCAGCTTGGTATGCTTGTACTGTACACTGTTTAATATTTAAGGTATTTATTAAGCCAACATAAGAAATAACTTGGGTTATTCAATGTAGCAGTGAGGAGAAGTTCAGGAAACTCCCCCAAGGTTTGTTTATAAGAAGACTATTAGTCCTAATATTAAGCATTAAAAAAAAGGGGGGGGGGGACTTGATAGTGTTTGGTTAAGTGATCTGTCATTGTGCCGGCCATGTATGATATAGGATTGACTCTATGGAGCATTTAGATACAAGTTAACCAGTTGATCAAGTAAAGGGAGAGGCTTCTGGTGTGTGTACAGAAGGATAAGAATTTCATTGATAGTGGACATGAATAATGATCCCAGCCCCTATATTGATAACTGAATCTTTGGCTCAGCTGACTGACCTCCCCACGACTTCAGTGTTTGTAAGATCAGATTGAAATTTGATCATCATTTTATGTACTTGTTTGTTGGATCAGATTGAAATTTGATGTCTGTGTGTATTGTCGATGAAATTTGTGTACAATTTTGATCGAATTTTTATAATAATTAAGAAAGCGTAAATAAATAACTCGGTCAGCTAAGCTCGTGGCTGTTGTGGGCCGCCTGTCAAGGGGAAGGGTTCATCTGTAATGGAATTTTTCATTTACAAGCCTTTCAGTGTTGGCTAAGTATAAAACTTAACTGGGAGGCTTTGGCATTTGCTCAAGTAGGGTACTTTAGGACCAGTTCTGTTTTGGCATGGGAGGTAACTTCATTGGCTCATCTTGGAAGTATATACAGTACTAAAGGGCGATGGCAGCGGTCAAGGGCCTTATGCTAAATGAAGTGTACATACGTATAAAGGTGGCTTGGGCTAATAGGAAGCTTTGAACTAATGACAAATTTGATTATATATTTATCTCTTGTGCCAGAAAAGAATTATGTCTTACCTCATTACAGTTTTGGAAGCAGTCCATGGTGTCTTGAAGCAACCAATAGCAGCACAGATTTGAGGCATCACTTATGAGTCAGAAATTCCTTATATCGATGTTTTATAAATTCTCCCCTAGTGGTATAATTTTTTTCCACTTTTTAAGCAGTAAAATATCAGGGTAGGCAAGGCCAGTAAACTCCTGTATCTTATTCTGATTTCATTCTTTTTATTATTACAGTATTATTAAATTTCTGCTTTGTTCCCAATCCCTCCACGTTCACACTTACTGCCAAGTCCTCGGGCATGCTGCTGTTGATTGCTTGGTGTGGCTTTCATATTTTCTTATTCTCATTGAACATTTGTAATTGACTGTATCTTGAGTACAGTTTTATTGTAGACATAATTAATTACCTTATTGCAGATTCATATGTGTAAGCATTATCTGTGTATTGAGGACTTAAGGGAATCAAAGTTTTAACATCGCAGTTAGACTTTCTGAACGCATTGATTGTGGGACAAGTTGGTGTGGAAGCATTTAGAACTGACAGCTGATGTGCAGGTGAGAGTATTGGAGCTGTTAAGGTTTTATGTGAGGAAGAGGCATTGGAGCTGGCATAGATCTTAATTCGGTATTAATGTTAGTACTAACTGCAAAACTGAGTATGCAATGATCTTTCTCTCTAAAAGCAGAGTACATTTGTTATTATTATTATTATACTAAAATGCTCTAGATTGAAAGAGCATTTGAAACTATGGATAAAGTTGTTATTGTAGTAGCGTAACCAATTATTGATAATATGCACGACTCAGTGGACGAATACTGTAAATATTGGCCAGGAACCTCTGCTCTTGGAATCTCAACTGACATAAGCCAAGTCCCTCTTGGGAAGGAGAGGTTTGGTCATTGCTAACTCTATCCATCACAATTAGTAGCCCTTGCACATGGAGTGTAAGCTGTTTGAAAGTACAAATATTTATTAATAGCCTCCAGAGTTTTCACATGTTATTGTCCTTTTGGATATCTATATTTTCCCCTGAGATGCTGAAAACTGCCAGTAAATTATAAGGAGTAGATTAATTTCTTGGTGTCAGATAAAGTTTTGAATTTAAGTTTAGGGGAAAATGTAAACATCCACTTGTTTGAATTGCCGAGGTCCAATACTCTCACTGTCATATGCAAACGTAATGTGTATACACGGTGTAATTTTTACAGTAACCGTTTACCACAACGTTAACACTGGTGATGACTGTTGGTGTCAGGTTTAGTAACAGTGCTCCCCACATGTGTATGCTGGTCATTACTGCACTGGTAAAAATCTCCATCACTTTGAGATACCATATATATGTATGTAGAGGAGGTGATCAATGCAGTGACTTGAAGCCTAACACTACTCTTGACATACAATTGTATATAATAGAGTCAAATTGCTGCAGTGATGTAACTCAGTGCTTTTGCCACCACTTGTGTCTGCAGGCTAACTCCTTCAAACCAAAGATTTGTCCTTTTTGTTTCCCCTGTCAGTTTTGTGTTGTCATTGATAATTGTACACTTGAGTTAAGTGTTTGAACCTCGCAAAAAACCTCCAAACCCATACATTTCCTAGCAGGCATCTGCTTCAATTTTTTTACTTTTCATTTCCTTATCAATATTATAAACTGGAGATATAATATGGAAAAATGATT